CCCCGCCCTTACCCCTCTTCCTCCTCCCCTCCTCGCCCCCCCTCTCCACCTCTCTTCTTCTCCCCCTCTTCCCCCGCCCCTCCCCTGCATCCCCCCCACTCTCCCCTGACTCGGCCCTGCCTCTCCGGATGCAGGCCTGTCGGTTCTCCGCATCCTCCCCCCTCCCCTGCCCATCTCGTTGCCCTCCCTGTGCTCCCCGCGCCTCCTGTCCTCTAGTTGCCGCGCGCCCCCTCCTCTGCCCATCCTCACAGTCCTCCTGCTCCAGCTTCTCCTGCTCCTGCTCCTCCTGCTGCTCCTCCTTCCTCCTCTTCGTCTTCCTTCTGCTCGTGTGCTTTGTCCGCCACGTCCTCCTCCTCCTTCTTCTCCTCCTCCTCCTCCTCCTCCTCCAATCTATCAAGCCCCCCGTCCTGATTGCGCATCGCACGATTGGTGTTATTCTGAAAAGCAAGGTCCTCTGGGACACCCCAGTCGGCGGGTAACACAGAATCAAGCGCCTGCGGGGTGTCAGATAGTGCGCGAGCGCGCATAGGATGCCATTCTGTCCCCCCCCCCTCCCCCTGCTACTCTCCCTGACGCTCACCATGCCCCCTCCTTCCTTCTCTTTCTTTTCCTCCTCTTCACGTTGATCATCATCCTCACTATCTTCCACTACCACCGCCTCCTCCTTTCCTCCCGTCCCATCGAGGTCGACATCGGCACCATAATCCTCCGGCATGCCTGAGAGTCGACGGAGGAGAAGGAGGAGGAGGATGAGGAAGAGGAGGAGGAGGAGGAAGAGGAGAAGAACGACGACGACGACGACGACGACTTTTCACCCCGAGTCGTCTCTGACCTTGGGATCTTGGCGGGCCCCCGGGACCAAACAGCCGAGAGAAGACCGAAGGGCCCGCTCCGTCCAGAGAACCCTTGCCTCCAGTGTTAGGTCGGGCGTGTCCTCCTACAGGCGGATTGACGAAACAAAACAAAACTAGCCAAAACATGCTCAAACAATGCCCATCACACACTCATAATATTGCCCCCAGACGATATTTTTTTGCCCATCTTTGAAACTCCCTCCTGTAGAGGGACAAGCTCGACGTACTCCAGGGCGAGCAGCGGCACCCGACTAAACGCAAGCGCGATCTTTCGGAGGCCCGCGCAAACTTCCTGGATCGGCGCTGGACTCCTCTCCCTGGCGAGCGGGGCGCGCCAGGACCTCCGCAAGCTGATTTGTTTATGCAACTTTCTGCTCCCGGATGGAACGTTCCAAGGCCCCGGCGGCATAGGCACTCCGCTCAGATCGCCGCGCCCCCCGAGTCCATGCCTCGAGGCCTCCCAGATGGGGTCGGGGCACATGGGGTCGGAGGATCGTGTCGCATCGGCGATGCTTCGGCGATGTCAGCGCGGAGAAAACCGGGCTCCAAATCGAGTCACAGCGGCGATGCCTCAGCGACGCCCACACGATCCTCCGACCGCATCCCGAAAGCCCAGAGGTACGAACTTCGGGGGGGGGGCACGGCGCTCTGAGCGGAGTGCCCGCGCCGGCGGGGCCCCGTGCCGTGCTTCAGGAGAGGCTGAGTCCACAAGGAGGAAGTCCATGAGGAGCGCTCGGTCTCCGTCTGGGCTTACCCTGTCTGGACTTATAGCCTCTTCCGACTCGGGCCCCACCTTCCGGGTGAAACACCAGCAAGCGTCGCGCTCTGAGGGTTGCCCGGGGCCAGCTCCACGCACAACATCGGGCCGCCACTTTCCCTCCTCCGCCCCTGTCCAAGGGATCCGCGCGGACTCTGGGGGCGACGATGGTTGCGAGTAGCCCAGGGCAATGCATGAATCCAGAGCGCTGATGGTCCATGCCTTGGGGCTAATTGCCGATGGTCCATACCGATGGTTCACACCGAAGCTTCTGGGCGATTGCGTGTAATGCTCGCCCCTGGGCACCTCGCCCCTATCGTCGCCTCTGAGCCCGATCGGCCACACGCGAGAGTGACCCTGGGCAAGAGTGACCTTTGGCGCACGGACTAGAAGGGGGGCGCAAGGCGGCCAAATCCAAGCGCGCACGCAGCCGCTGTCGCTTCGCGCCGCTCAACGATCGGTGGGATCCTGATGAGCCCGCACCAAAGGCCACTGCGGCGAAGGCATCCGCGCAGCTGCCGAACATTTCCCGCGCAGCTTGCCGCGGCAATGCGTAGTCGACTTCTGCGCAGCTGGCGAACATTTTTCTGGCCAGGCGGCTGCTGGCCACAGGGCCGAGGTGACGCGCCCACTGGCCAGGGGGGAACCAGGCCCCTCGGGGGCGGAGGAGGAGGAAAAGGAGGAGGGGGAGAGGAGAAGGAGGAGGAGGAGGAGGAGGAGGAGGAGGACGACGACGGAGGAGGCGGAGGCGGAGGAGAAGGAGGAAGATGAGGAGGAGGAGAAGGAGGAAAAGGAAGGCGGAGGAGACGGAGGAGGAGGAGCAGGAGGAAGAGGATGAGGAGGACGAGAAGTAGGAGTATGAGTATGAGTAGGAGTAGTAGGAGTAGAAGGAGGAGGGGGAGAAGGAGGATGAAAACGAGGCATGAAGAGGGGCATAAATGATAAAAGGAGACGAGGAGACGGCAGGAGGAAGAGGAAAGCACGAGAGAGGAGGAGTAGGAGGAGGATGAGGAGAAGGAATGGAGGACGACGAGGAATGGAGGACGAGGAGTAGGAAATATTGGAAGAGGATGAGGAGGAGGAAGAGGAGGAGGAGGAAGAGGAGGACGAGGACGAGGACGAGGGCGAGGAGGATGAGGAGAAGGAGGAGGAGGAATAGAGAGGAGAACGAGAGAGAGAGGAGGAGGAGGAGGAGGAGGAGGAGGAGGAGGAGGAGGAGGAGGAGGAGGAGGAGAGGAGGCGGAGGAGGAGGAGGATGGCACGAGAGGGGGAAGAGTAGAGATGAGGAGGATGGATGGAGGATGCTGATGGGTGGAGGAGGAGAGGATGGATGGAGAAGGAGGAGGAGGAGGAGGACTGGATGAGGAAAGAGAGTGGAGGAGGAAGGATGATGAAAAGGAGGGGGAGGAACGGAGAAAGGGAGGAGGAGGAGGAGGAGGAGGAGGAGGAGGAGGAGGAGGAGGAGGAGGCGGAGGAGGAGGAGGAGGAGAGAGGAGAACGATGAGGAGGAGGATGCGGAGAATGGAGAACGAGAGGAGGAGGCGGAGAGGAGAGAGAGGATGAGGAGGAGAGAGGACGGAGAGGAGGAGGAGGAGGAGGAGGAGGAGGAGGAGGAGGAGGAGGAGGAGGAGGAGGAGGAGGAGGAGGAGGAGAGGAGGAGGAGGAGGAGGAGGAGGAGGAGGAGGAGCAGGAGGGGAGGGGGAGGAGGGGAGGCGAGGCGGAGGAGGAGAAGAGGAGGCGGAGGAGGAGGAAAGCAAAAAGGAGAGGAGGAGGAGGTGAGGAGGAGGAAGAGGAGGGGAAAAGGAGGAGGAGGAGACATGGAGGAGGAGGGATATATGCATGGATGGTTGGATGGATGGAATAACCGATGAGGATTAGGAGGATGGAAGAGGAGGAGGAGGAGGAGGAGGGAGGAGGAGGAGGAGGAGGAAGAGGAAGGAGGAGAAGCCGAGGAGACGAAAATGGGGAGAGAGGGAAGACGAGAGAGGAGGAGGAGGAGGAGGAGGAGGAGGAGGAGGAGGAGGAGGAGGAGGAGTAGAGGGGGGAGGAGGAGGAGGAGGAGGAGGAGGAGATGGAAGAGGAGGAAGGATGGAGGAGAGGATGGAGGAGGAGGAAGAGGACAAGGAATGGAGGAAGAGGCAGAGGAGTAGGAGGAGGATGAGGAGGAGGAGGAGGAGGAGAGATGGAGAGATGGAGGAGGGCGAATCTGCGTCTGGCCCCTCGGGACAACGGCCGGCTGATCGCGGCCCGGGGCGTCTGGCGGCCTGAGGACACCGAGGCGGCCAGGCTTCCCCACGGTGGACCGCTCTCGGGCCACGTGGCGTTTTTCGAAGCCCTGAGCCCCAAAAACCTTTTCATCTCATGGGAGGTCGACTCTCGCTTCCGCAGGCCTCCGCTGAGGTTCCGCCAGCTTCCGCCGGCGGCGCCGCCACCGTTTTGCTTCCGCCGCCTCCTCCGCCGAGGAAGGGATGACAACTCCATCGACCCTCGAAGGGGGGCCCCCTTGTTTTGGAACGCCACACACACGGGACGGTCAGGAAAGATCTGGGGCGAAGGGCTCGCCCCCTCATGGGACGGGTCGGCGACTCCAAAGGGTGTGGTTTACAAAGGGTGTGGTTTGCAATCGGCACCCTGGGGGAACATCCCGAGGGGCATCCTAGGGGGCGCGCGGGGACCTCGATCGAATTCTCCCGCGCCCCGAGGAGGCCCGACGACGACAGTGTCGTGCCCCCCCAGGCCCCAACGGTGCCGATCGCAAACCACATCCTGGCATAACCACACCCTTTGCAATCGCCGAAAGAGGTCCGCATGGCCGGTGTACGGAGAGACGAGAACAGTGGAGGCCTGTGTCACGGAGTGCCACAACTGTGTGGCTTCCTGTCCCGCCCCCGTTCGCTGCCACGTCTCCCTCTCGCAGCGTGCTGGCTGGCAGCCCCCCTCGACGCTCCTCTCATCCCTCCTCCTCCTTCTTTTCCTCCTCCCTCGTTCTCCTCGTTTTCCTCCTCCTTCTCCTCTCCCTTCTCTTGCTCCTCTCATTATCCACTCTTCTCCTTCAACGCCCTCCTCTTTCTGCGCACGCCATCATTGTCCAGTGGCGTTTTGTTGCCCCAATGTGGGGGCCGACCCACGCCACCTGCAAGATGATAGGATCATAAAGATGAGGCATATTTTGTTGACCGGACCTTGGAAACTCAACCGACCTACGGAAAAACTACCTGCGCATACTGGTCTACTGGTTCAATCCGGATCATCAATGAGTTCCCTTATGTCTAAGCCAGAGGCCAAATAAAAGCCTCCCTGGTAAATCGTCTTCTGATCGGGTCGTAGAACCACGTCCTGGTCCCAGAAGTCTGTCAGCGTTCCATTGACCCGCATCATGATCACGTTCATCACCGCCTCCAGCTCCTTCTGCTTCGACTCGAAGTCATCTCTCGCTGACTTGGCACCCTCCTTGCGAAGCCAATTCTCTGCATCCTCTGCTTTCCTGCGGCGACGACGTCGACGACGACGACGTCTTCGTCGGCGCGGTCCTCGTCGACGATGCAGAGGACGACGACGAGAGAGGTGGTGGTCTGCACAAGTGAAACTAACTCCCGAGCAGCGCAACACGCACCTCGGAGAGGAGGAGAAGGAGGAGGAGGAGGAGAAGGAGGAGGGAGGGAGGAGGCAGGAGGGAGGAGGGAGGAGGAGAGGAGGAGGAGGAGGAGGAGGAGGAGGAGGAGGAGGAGGAGAGGAGGGGGAGGAGGAGGAGGAGAGGAGGGGGAGGGGAGGGGAGGGGAGGAGGAGGAGGAGGAGGAGGAGGAGAGGAGGGAGGAGGAGGAGGAGGAGGAGGAGGAGGCGGAGGAGAGGAGGAGGAGGAGGAGGAGGAGGAGGAGGAGGAGGAGGAGGAGGAGGAGGAGGAGGAGGAGGAGGAGGAGGATGCACGCGCCCCCCCCGCCCCCAGGGGCAGCAGCCATGCATTTTTCCGAGGTCACCTGGCTTCGCGCTCTCCCTCCCTCCCTCCCTCCCTCCCTCCCTCCCTCCCTCCCTCCCTCCCTCCCTCCTCCTCCTCCTCCTCTCCTCCTCCCTCTCTCCTCCTCACCCTCCTCCTCCCTCCTCCCTCCTCCTCCTCCTCCCCTCCTCCTCCTCTCCTCCTCCTCCCTCCTCCTCCTCCTCGCATCGCGCCTCGCGACGCGCGGTCATCTTCGCGCCCTCGCGCCGCCGCCCTGCAGCACGCCCCCTCTGCGACAGGGCTGGGCCTAAACGCGTTTTTCGTTTTGCGTTCGTTCTGTGTTTCGTTTTGCTTTCGTTTTCGTTTTGCCTTCGTTCTGTGTTTCGTTGTGTTTCGTTTTGACGTTTCGTTCTGTTTTCGCTCTGTGTTTCGTTCTGCCGTGCCTGCTTTCCTGCGCCTTCCCGCCAGCAACGAAACAACAGAACGCTGCCGAAATCCAACAGCACAACGTTCAGGTCCAACCCTGCTCTGCAACCCGCGCCGCGATGCGCAAAGCGCGACTATCTTTGTGCCCTTGGGGGTGTGCCCTAGTTCGCACACGCCCTCCCCCCTGGGGGCAGCAGCCAGACGTTTCGGATTTGCACACTCATGCCTCGAGCCCGGGGGCGCGTTTCAACACCCGAACCTCGTCATGGCAACCACCAGGGGAGATGACGACAATGGCCGACACGTTCCAGAACTGCGAAGCTCGAACCGCCGCGGCTCACCGAGCCCGGGAGACAGACAGAAGACGGACAGACAGGCAGGCGGCGTGCAATGCCTGGCACAGTAAGTGGATGACGACGAGGCAGAGAGCGACGACGACGAGAGTGAGGAGAACGGCGACGCAGACTCCTGGAGAGGCGTTCGCGGTCGCGCTGGAGCAACTTGTCCTCGCTGATGTCCTCGATCGCCTTCCTGAGGCGCACGATGTACGCTTTCAGCGATTCCTTGGCCACGATCTCGCCCTTGGCAAGCTCGTCCTCGTCTTTGTACTTGTCGGCCTCGTCCAACATCTTCTCGATGTCGTTCTGCGAGAGTCTGCCCTTCTCGTTGGTGATGGTGATCGAGCTCTTGGTGTGCGACTTCACGTCCTCTGCAGTGATCTCCAATATTCCGTTCGGGTCAATATTGAATGTGACCTTGATCTTCGGCACACCACGCAGGGTCTTGGGGATATCTGTCAGAGTGAACTTGCCAAGATAGTTGTTGTCCTTCACCAGCGTCCGCTCGCCCTCGTACACCGCTATATCTACATGGTCTTGGTAGTCATCAGTGGTCGTGAAGTCTTGGCTTTTGTTGGTGGGAATCGTACTGTTGCGTTCGATTAGCTTTTGCATCATGCCGCCTGCGGTCTCGAGGCCCAATGACAAAGGCGCGACGTCCAACAATAACATGTTCTGTACCTGTGAGGTGCCCGCCCCGGACACGATGGCGGCTTGCACTGCCGCACCGTAGGCAACCGCCTCGTCGGGATTGATATCTTTGCATAGCTCCTTCTCGTTGAAAAAAGCCTTGATCATCTCCTGCACCTTCGGAATGCGCGTGGAGCCGCCCACCATCACTACCTCGTGGATCTTCGACTTAGGAAACCGGCTGTCGGCCAAACACTGACTGACCGGCTCCATTGCCTTCTTGAAATAATCCATGCAGAGCTCCTCGAACCTCGCCCGCGAGATGCGGGTGCTGAAGTCGTGCCCCTCGTGCAGCGAGTCTATCTCGATGTTCGTCGAGGGGGCTGTGGACAGCTGCCTCTTGGCCCTCTCGCAGTGGGTCCGCAGCCGACGCAGCGCGCGCTGATTGCCCGACGGGTCGGACTTGAACTTGCGGCGGAACTCCGCGATGCAGTGGCTGAGCAGGCGGTTGTCGAAGTCCTCGCCGCCCAGGTGCGGGTCTCCGGCCGTGGCCTTCACCTCGAACACGCTGTCCTGGATCGTCAGGATGGACACGTCGAACGTACCGCCGCCCATGTCGAACACCAATATGTTGACTTCTTCTCCCGGGCCACCCTTGCTGTCGACGTGGTCCAGGCCGTACGCGATGGCAGCAGCGGTCGGCTCGTTCACGATTCTCTGCACGGTCATCCCGGCGATCTCGCCGGCGTCCTTGGTGGCCTGCCGCTGAGAATCGTTGAAATAGGCAGGCACGGTGATGACGGCATTCTTGATTCGCTGACCGACAAAGGCTTCTGCTGTCTGCTTCATCTTCGACAGCACCAAGGAGGATATCTCCTCAGGGTGAAAGCTCTTCGTCACATCCTGGAACGTAACCTGTATGATTGGCTTGTCGTCCTTGGAGCCATCGGAGACGACCTTCCACGGCCCGAAGACTATCATATCCTCTGCCACCCTCACCCCTCTTCCCCTCCCTCTTCCTCTCCTTGTCCTGGAGTGAAGTCGATGAGCATGATTGATGAGGACGCAGAGGATGAGGACGAGGCGGGACGAGGAAAGGAGGAGAGGATTGGATATGGTATGATGCTTGTGCGGCTGACACCTTGAAGGGCCACAACTCGATGTCCTTCTGCACCACAGGGTCCGAAAACTTTCGGCCGATCAGACGCTTGGCATCGAACACGGTATTCGTGGGGTTGTTGGCAACCTGTCCGCAAGGAGAGTGGTCCGGGATATGCTGATCCGGGACCATCCAGACCCGGGCCAGCCAAGAGTTGCAGGATCCTGCAAGATCCTGCAAGCTCCTGCACCCAAACCGGGGTCAGTGCACCCCGCAAAATCCTGCAACATCCGGATCTTGTAAACTCCGGCTTTGGACGCCCGACATGGGTACCGAAAAAATGGGTACGATGCCCAACAACAAATGTTGTCCCAAACCAACAGCGGCCGCTGTTGGGCAGGCGGCCTTCTGTCTCAAATGTACACAGGCCGCGGCGGCGCGGACAGCGAGTCCTGTTCAAAATGAACAGGAACTGCTGTTGAGCATGGTACCCATTCTTTCCGTGCCCATCTCGTTCGTGCAGACCGGCGCTCTGACTGGCCCCCGTGTGCATCGACCCCAGTCTCCTGCCCCCCGGGGGGGGGGGGAGCGCCGCCGCGTCCGTCCGGCCCTCGCGGGCGCCCACGCGGGGAGCATCCGCCGGCCATGGCCGAAGGCATGCGCGCAGACGAGGAGGAGGAGGAGGAGGAGGAGGAGGAGGAGGAGGAGGAGGAGGAGGAGGAGGAGGAGGAGGAGGAGGAGGAGGGAGGAGGAGGAGGAGGGGGAGGGGGAGGAGGAGGAGGAGGAGGAGGAGGAGGAGGAGGAGGAGGAGAGGAGGAGGAGGAGGAGGAGGAGGAGGAGGAGGAGGAGGAGGAGGAGGAGGAGGAGGAGGAGGAGGAGGGGGAAAGGCCATCCAGGGACGCACCATTGGAGGCCTCCCAGATGGGGTCGGAGTAGATGGAGAAAGAGGATCGACCCGCATCGGCGATGCATCGGCGATGCATCGGCGATGCGCCGGCGGTGCACCGGCGATGCACCGGCGACGTGGGCGATGCATCGGCGACGTCGACGTGAAGCAAATCGGGCTCCACATCGAGCCGCATCGACGATGCATCGGCGCTGCGGCGTGACTATCCGACCCCATCTACTCGGACCCCCTCTGGGAGGCCTAGAACCATGGCCCTGGCCTTGATATCCAACACCCCCTCTGGCGGCGCGCACAGTGGGGTCGGTGGAGGGGGGGACGGCTTCTCAGACGGCGGCTGCTTCTCAGAAGGCGCCAGCCGTAATTACATCTACAGACAAGGCCCATGCCCTCCAAGAAGCAGCCTCCTTCTAAGACGCCTTCCCCCCTGACCCCTCTCGGCGCGTGGCCGGCCCCTAGTCATCACCCCCCTCTTGGACGCCCCCGAAGCCCCCCCATATCCTCCTCCTCCTCCTCCTCCTAAAAAAAAAAACTTGCCCCCCTTCCCAGGACCCGTCCAGAGGAGGGCGGGCATTCGCAACCCGAGACTCAAAGACCAACCAAGTGATGGCGAGGAACACCCCCCCGTCAATAACACAACATGAATACCACTCACTCCCCTCTCCCCCGAAGACGCCGGTGAGGTGTCCTGGCCTCCTCCGCGTATGGTTCTTTACAGACAAGACGCTGCCGACTTAAACATTTATATGTGTTTTTCATTTTCTATCCTTTCAGCATGGCGCTCCCGTTACAGCGTTGGCTCCATTTTCTCGTTCTCATTCTTCCAAATCATGTGCCCGCTGCAGCGCTGACCTCATTTCATTGTTTCGGTTCTTCCAAATCGTGCTCCTGCTGCAACGTTTGCTTCGATTCCGCGCTTCCAGCCCTTCCACATTTTGCTCGCACTGCAACGCTGGTCTCGTTTCCGCGGCTTCGCTGCTCTCATTTTGCGCTGCCCGTTTTCCAAACTGTCCATTTGCATTTTCCGTCCTGTGTCATTTCTGGCTTCCCTCTGATCTTGTTGTCGACATCGATCGCATTCTGGACGCGACGTCGGCTGTGGCCGTGCTCTTCTATGCCATGCTCTGTCGTGCTATGCCATGCATCACGTAATACTCTCTCGGGATCATTGCACTGTTCGACATCTGACCGTGCTGAGAGGGAGATGATATCTACGCAATGGTAATGGATGAGATGGAGGGGTGGGACGTTAGACATGTCGCTTGCGCACCTAGCTTGTCCGCCTCCCCTCTCCTTCCCTTCCCCCCTTCTCCTCCTTCCCCTCCCCTCCTTCCCCCTTCCCTCCTCCTTCCTTTCCGTCGAATCCTTCCCTCCTCCTTCCCCCCCGCCCGTGAGAGGGCGCGGGAAGGGGCAGGACAGAGTGGGAGAAGGGGGGGAGGGATATCCTTCTTCTTCTTCTTCTTCTCCTCCTCCTCCTCCTCCTCCTCCGCCGCCTCCGCCTCCTCCTCCTCCTCCTGCTCCTGCTCCTCTCCACATCCTCCCCTTGTCCTCCTCCTTTGCCTCTCCGAAAGCCCCTGGGAAGCGCGCAACATCGCAGAGAACAGCCTCAGCCATCCCCCAACTCACTCCATACTCTCCTCATCCATCCTCGCCTTCGCCTCAAGGGGACCTCCCGATCTCGACAAAAGCAAGCAAGGTAAACCAGTCAGATCGATCCTGGATCTTCAACCCTCGATGCCCCTGCTTTCCTCCCTCTCCTCCTCCTCCTCCTCCTCCTCCTCCTCCTCCTCCTCCTCCTCCTCCTCCTCCTCCCCTTTTTCCTCCTCCACCGCACCACAAAACATGACCCTCAGAAGCTCCGTGCTTATCCTATATTTGGGCGACCAGAGCGGTGCGTCTGACGCGGAACGCTCTGGTCGAATAACCCCTCTCTACCAGGAAGGCAGGGAGGAGAGGGGTAGGGGGGGGGGAAAGGAATAACGCCAAACCATTTTTTGGGAACGCTGCTGCTTTTCGTTTGGATTCGTGGGCTCCCTGGAGTCCTTCGCGGAACTAGCGGGAGGAATATCAGCAGCCGCCTCGCCCCCTCCCACCTCCCCTCCCCGCCCTCCTCCTGCTTGTCCTGCCGCCCTCCTCCTCATCCTTGTCCTGCTCGCCCCCTCTCCCAAGACCAAGGGGTAAGGGAAATACCGGGCATAGAAAAACGTGTAGCAAACGGACTGGCCGTAAGTGCGCAGCCTGTCTCCCACTGGCCCAGCGATATACAACGTGCTTGGCTGAGGGCGGCTTGCGCCTGGCTGGCGTTCCCCGCGGTGACGTGCGCTTGCGCCGCTTATTGTGGAACGCGGAAAAACATCGAGACACACGGGGTCTTTGTGGCAGTTTGAGCATCCGGCGCAGTTGTATTTGACGTCGGCGCCCAAATAGAAGATGAGGTGGGGCAATACGAAGAGGCCGAGGGGTTCACGGAGGACGGGGCAAGAATAGTAGTGGAATGTCGAATCAAGCTCGCTCGGGCACTCGGGCAACCCGGGCAAACAAGGCACGAGGCCGCACATTTGAATGCGGTTGGAAGTCGTCCACCCTCCCGACATCGATTTGAACCGTGCCCATAGCCAGGCGGGCTTTCAACAGCCGGGGGTGCTGAGACAGTCCGTTCCACGATCTCGTGTACTTCCCACGATGTTTGGAAAAATAGTGGTCCAATGAACTGGATGATTAAGATATTGTGATTCCAAAATCGTTGGGGCAGAAATACGTTCGGAGGAAGGAGGAACGGGCGCGTTGGACTTTGGGTTTGTGGGCAGCACTGGCTGCGTCCTGCAATTCGGTGCGTGCAGCAGTTTGCCCGTCCACCCACTCGCGCTTAGTCGTGCCTCTCTGGGAAGGCTGAATGAGAACGGCTTGAAAACGCTGGGCGAATGTTCGTTTTTGTTGCCAACAAGGGGCGTTCCAGTCCTTGCGTGCCCATGCAGCCACGGGGCGCGCGACCAGATCACCGCTTCGCTCCGCTCGGCGAGGCGGTCTCCCTAATCTTGGAGAGCGTGATGCGCTGCGCGCCAAAGACTAGCAGCCCCTAGTACCGGGGCAGATGTTGGCGATGCTCGGCCATGGGCAGCAAGCGAACACCGACCTGCCTTCCTAGATGTGCTCGGCGGCAGGAGCTGGAACTTGCGCGGGCCATAATTTCCCTTGAGCAGCACCGCGGGCGGTCCATCGGCAGGAGCTGTGCGAGGTATTGACATTAGAGAGCGCGGTGCTACTGCTCATGAGCACGCTGCTGCTGCTGGGGCAATCGGCGCGAGGAATCTCGAGCGATCGCGACCGCCTCTTCAAAACCGCCACGGCCCACGTGGGCTCCTCCGATGCGCGCGGCCCGACCTGCGCCCCCACGCACTTGAAATGGCAGGCTGTTTTTCACATCGGACCTCGGGGGGATGGCTTCCTGAAGGAAGGGGCGAATCCTAGCGGTTAGCTGCGACGTTAAATCGGCCTAGAGGGGGGCAATGGCAATTTTGGCAGTCTTCTGGCGGAGTTTGGCCGGTTCCTCTGCTTTTTGCAAGACAGGGCCGAGTCTCGCGACGTCTTGCAACCTCGGTTGGACGAGTCCCGCGTCGCCCGCGCCCCCGCCCACCTCGCCGCGAAGACTTTCGAGCGACGCATCCGAGGTTTGCTCCGCCATGCGGTTCCCGATCGGGCCCGTGGCCGGAGCCCATGTCGAACCTTCAGGGGGCCACCTTGCATGGCTCCTGGTGGGGGAGGAGGGGGGGGGGTCGACGGCTGCCTCTCGAGCCCAGGGGCGAAGCAGGGCCCCTGTGCACAAGCGCAGGCGACTAATTAAATATCCTCGAAGCCAGCCGGCGCGGCCCAATGCCGCCGGGGTCAAATCGTGCCCGGGGCTCGGAAACCCTAGCCAGCAATGAAGACGGGCGCGCTCGCTTCGGGCTCTCGCGCGCGCCGGCGTGGCGCGCTGGCATGGCGAGGCGCGCGATGTAGCTGGGCGAGTTTCCGCGGGGGGCGAACTCTTGCCGCGCTTTGCGGTTCCGCTTCTGGACCAGCATTGGCACTTGACTGTTGGCGGCAGAGGCTGAAATCTTGTGCTCTGAATAGCGAAGCGAGAGCGGCCTAATTTGGGAGGGCCCCCCAGTGCGACCGTGCTCGTCGAGCGCCTCGGAGCCCCCAGGGGGGCCGCGAGCGGCGAATCGCCCGGGTCCTCGGGGGCGCGGCCTCCAGGTCACATAAG